GTCATGAGTTTAGATTTTGTTATAAAAATAATGGTTTTCGCTCAGATGGATCCTAGATTTATTGGGGTGATCACTTCGTAAGTTATATAAATGTCTAATCACTCAGTTGTATGCCTGAAACTAATACAATATTGTATGTCAACTGTAATTGAAAAATATAAAATTATTTTAAAGAAAAGAATAATGGGAAACCTCTGAGATGTTTTAAGCAAAGAAGTAATGTGATAGGATTTTTGCTTTTTGAAAACCCTGGTGGCTAGATGGAGAGAATTGCAGAGAGGTAGGGTAGAAGTAAGGACACTAGTCTAGAGGTGACTGTAGTTGTTTAGAAGAGAGCTGCTTGTGGCCTGGAGCAAGGTGGTGTCAGTGAAGGTGGGAGAAGTACATGAATTCTGATTTTATTTTAAAAGTTAAGCAGAGAATATTTCTTGGCTGGCTAGATATGGTGGACAAAGTGAAGAGAGGAGCCCAGCATGACTTCATAGGTTTTGTCCTGAGCAACTGGAGAGGTGGACATGCCATTACTGACATGGGGAAGATGAGAGAAAGCTGGTTTGGGAGAAAATCAAAAGGTGAGTTATGATGGTGTTAATTTTGAAAGACCATGGTATCAGGCAGGCATTTGGATATTCACTATCCCCTGTGCACTACTTTCGTGTGCCATTGGAACAGTTATTTACATAATCATTTTCTTTAAATCAACGTTAAATCAGCTCACTTTTTTCTTTAGCTCCATGCTAAACAATAGTACCCATAACAAAGTTTTCATAGACTACCATGTATTTTTCTCTGAATACACATTAAAATAATGACAACCATAGTTCCCAGGTCCCCTTGCAGTTCAATCCTGACACTTCCTCCATTTCGAACCTCAAGCAGAGTCTGGTCACCTAGCATATGCAGATTTGAACTGGACCATTGGCTTTGACACCCAAGAACCTCTGAGGACATTCAAAGGGATCATGGTGGGGCATTCAGGGAAAGGGACCTGGTCCTACAGCTTGGCAAGACCTTAGGGGCAGCCACTTAACTGTCTCAGTGGACCCTCTGATTGGGGTGAGGGTTAACAAAGTAGAGCCCACCACCTTTTCCTTAGGTTTATGCGCCCTCTGGTGGCTGGGTTCACTGTCCCTGTGCACTGGGGGCTTTTGAGAGCTTTGATTTCCAGGCTACGCAGGAGAAGGGAATCCTCTCCCTTGGCCTCCTCTCAGGAGAGGGGGAAAGAGGTCAGACTAGCTTTAAGATCCAGACTGAGGGACAGAGAGGTGTTGCTGAGACTGGGACTCAGGTGGGCAGAGGTAGGGGTGGCAGTTTGCGAGCCAGGCAGGGGCCACCAAGGATCGGACCCAAAATGAATGAAGAGTGAGTGGTGTGCGGGAGCAGGGGGTTTTGTTTACTACAGAAGGTAACCAATGCAGAGAAAAGGAAATTGATGGCCATATACAAATAAGGCAATTTACCTTAGGTGGGTATTTTCAAAGGAAAATTAAAAAACACTTCAATTTAAACAATTTTAAATTAAGAGCAGGGGAAAAAATTAAGAGCAGGGAACGTCAGACTGTGCTGAACAAATACAACACATAATGGAAAATGTTTTCCAGTTCTTATATTATAGCCAGTTATGGGAGAGAAGTGGGGGTGGCGGCCAGCCACAGGCAGGAGAGAGTAACACTATTGTAGAAAGCAACCGAGAAGGGGTCTGGGAGTGGGGCAGTAGAGATAGACACTGTCTGCCTACGCTGACGTCCAGGTATTCAGACAAAAATCCACACTACATCCACACAGGTATCCACACGGTTGAATGCACACACACACGCATTCTTTCTCTCTCACACACACACAGTAACACACTCCCCAAACCACATGGATAGTCTTTCTGTCATTCATTCTTTTCTGAATAACAAACTGTGTTTAAAAGAGAAGAGATCAATTGTTAAACAGACATTTGCAGTCCAGTGTGCAAGGGGTTCTCTCATAGAAGGCTGTGGTGGGAGCTCTGAGAGGGAGCCTGTGACCTGAGTCTCAGAGAAAGAAAAGACAGAAAAGGGTGATTTAGGCAGAGTGAACAGCATGAGAAAAGTCCTGGAAGCTCAAGAGAACATAGACTCTCGAGGTGCCGCAAAAAGTCATGAGTGATCAGACATCTGGGGAAAGGGAAGCTGGAGGGTGGGGGAGAGCTGAGCCTTGAAGTATTTGTCCCAAACCAGTGAGTTCCCTATGTGACCCAGATGAGTCACCTGCTTTGCCCTGGGGAAAACCAGATTCAAGATGCAATGTCCACTTAATTGATGTGAGCTGGAAATCAGTCACACTTTGATGCTGGACTGAGCATGAACCAGGCTCTGGGTAGAAATGCTGCAGATTTCTTGCTGAAACCAAGGACTCTACCTCCTTTTGGCTCAGTCTCTTCCAGTGAAGGGGCTTAGAGCCTTTTCTCCCAACCCAACGCCCAAAGGGAAAGCATACACAGAACACTATTCCATCATGAACGTTGCCTTCCTACCACTGCCACTCTCAGGGACAAGGGCCTACACATAGATAATTATAGATATCTTCAAGTGAGTCTGCCCTTGTTAAGATTTATCACCATCAGCTAAGGAAGAGGCCAAAAAATTACATTAAATTTAAAAGAAGGCTAGAAGAAAGAATTCCAATAAAAATGAAGGGTGACATCAAAACACAGGCAACAAAAGTAAAGATAGATAAATTGGACTACATCAAAATTATAAACTGTACATCAAAGTGCACAATCAACAGAGTGAAAAGGCAAACTATGAAGTGGGAGAAAATTGCAAATCATACATTTGATGTAGGTTAATGTCCAGAATATATAAAAAACTCCTATGACTTAATAATGACAACAAAAACAAACAACCCAATTTAAAAATGAGCAAAAGACTACACAGACATTTTTCAAAGAAGACATATAAATGGCCTGAACAAGCGTTTGAAGAGAAGCTCAAAATTACTGATCATCAGGGAAATGAATATCAAATCTACAATCAAATACCACCTTACACCCATAAGGTTGGGTACTATTTAAAAAATAAATAAAATATAAAACAGAAAACAAGTGTTGGCGAGGATGTGGAAAAATCGGAATCCTGAGCACTGTTGATGTGAATGTAAGCAGTTACTATGGAAAGCAGTCTGGTGACTACTCAAAAAATTAAAAATGGAATTACTATATCATTCAGCAATTCCATTTCTGAGTAAACATTCAAAACAAGTGAAACAAAAAAATTTAGACGGATATTTGTACACTCATATATATGGCAATATTATTCATAGTAGCAAAAAGATGGAACGACCCAAGTGTACAGTGATATGGATGAATAGTTAAACAAAATATGGTTTAATACAGTGGAATATTACTCAGCCTTAAAAAGGAAGGACATTCTGACACATGCTACAACACCGATAAACTTTGAGGACATTATACCAAGTGAAATAAGCCAGTCACAAAAGGAGAGTGTATGATACCACTTAAATGAGGCATCTAGAGTAGTCAAATTCATAGTGACAGAAAGTAGGATGGTGGGTGCCAGGGGCTGGGGGAGGGGAAATGGGGAATTATTTAATGGGTACAGAATTTTAGTTTGGGAAGATGAAAAAATCCTGGAGATTTGTTTCACAACAATGTGAATGTACTTTACACTATTGAACTGTACACTTAAAAATAGTTAACATGGTAAATTTTATGTGTATTGTACCACAGTTAAGGGGGAGGAGTGAACTGGTATGCATGAAGGCTTCTTAATCTTTACTTAGATATTCTTGCCCATTAATTACCACTTGTCCTTCAGGTTCCTGATCATCTGATGGTACCCACTCAAATATCTGTTCATCCAGGAGATCCTCCTCAACTCCCCAGACATAGCCAGTATTTCTCTCAAGACATGACTGCTGGCAAATGGAAGCATAGGAATTTTGGTGTGTTCGCTTACTACCCCAGTGAATAAACATTCTCCTCTGTGCCAGGCATATTTCTACAAACAGAGCAGTGAGGGAGACTGTCTTGGTCCCTGCCCTCAGAGCCACAGTCTGGAGGGAAACCAGGTTCATCAAAACCAACCACATGGTGTGATATGAGCCAGTGATCACTGTGAATGCCTAGAGAGGGGGCGATTGACTGTCTAGTGTGGGAATGGGTACAGTCAACAGGCCTTCTTAAAGAAGGTGATGTGTGAGCTGAGTCCTGAAGGACCAGTAGGGCTTAGGAAGTCAGTGGAAGACACCAGAGGGTGTTCCAGGTGAATGAGTCCTGGATAAGTGGAAAAGAGATGTATGGGGAAAAGAGAGAGGTTGAGGGGGGAAGGGAGAAAATGTGAATAGCAGAGTAGAGCAATAACCACAAATAATTTAAAGGAGTTTATTACTTGTAAGTACCTCTATTGCAGATATTAATTTGAAGTCTCCCACCCACCACCAGCCTTCAGAGCCTCTTCAGAAATGTTTTGCATATAAGCATGATGGCCAGAGCTCCTGGTCACCTCCTTCTCCTGGTGGCATTGCCTGGTAGCCAACTACCAGTTACCTTGCTCCTCATTTCCTGCCTGGGAATGGACCAGAAGCCAAGAGCATCATCATCTCTCTGGTCCAGAGAAGACTGCAGAGATCTCACTCCTGGCTGGCAGAGAGACAGATCAACAGAGCAGATGTTGGAGTGCCTGAGAGGAAGAGGCATCTCTGAGTGAGTACCTCCTCTCTCTGTCCTCCTCCACACCCTTAGCCTGCCTTAGGAGACAGACACTGGATAACTGTGCTAAATGTCTGCAGCCAATGTGTGAATTACATACATGTGCGTGGAAATTGGGGATATTCAGAACATATATTAGAAAAGCAAGAACCAAAACCAAGTGGTAAATGGCTAGGTGTAAAGGTGCCTAGAGAGAAAAGAATATTGCTGCAGAGCACACCATTCCATCTGTAGATGGGCTTCTTTAGGTCAGATTATTGCCTAGGCTCTCAGTTCCAGGAGATGCTTTTTGAAGACAATTCAGCTGCTCTTCTCTTCCTTCCTCAAACTGGGACAGGCTGAACCTCCTGGAAGCCAAGCCAACATGATCTGCAATGTGCACAAGCTTAGCTGTTAGCTGGATTTAGAGGAGGGCTCCTGGGTGATTGAGCCAAAAACCTGGGAACGGAGGCTTTGGGAGAATTCAAGGCAACATGGGGGTAATGTATTCAAATGTGAAGACCTACACAGCTCTTCTAGCTCCTGAGTCAAGGCCAAGGTTGGAGAGGCAATTGGGCTCAAGCCCTTATGGCTTCTCGGCAACAGCTGGCTCAGGACTGTTCATCCCATCGGAAAGGTAATCGTCCTCATTGTTCTGCTTCATCTTGGTCTCCAGAACTGTGATGCGCTGCTTGAGCTTCTGCTGGGCCCCTGTGTACTCAGCCAGAAGGCGGCCAAAGCGAGTGTACATGGTCTCCATATTGGTCTCCAGTTGCTGTAGCTTCTCCTGCACATCCACCTCCATGCTGGCTGCCACCTCATTCTCATCCAGCAGCCCCTCCTTCATCAGGATCTCCCGGCCCCTCTCCTCCAAGACCTTCTTAGCATCAGGATATTCAGTCACAGCTTCCATAAGATCATCCTTGGACAAGCAGAAGAGATCTGAGTAGCCCAGACTGCGGATATTGGCTGTTCGTCGATTGCCCATTTTGCTACCCTTAATGTTAAGGATACTGATCTCTCCAAAGCAACTCCCAGCTGAGAGCAGGGCATACTGAGTGACACCATCATCAGCCACCACTGCCAGCTTGCCTTCCTTGATTATGTACATCTCCTTGCCAATATCCCCCTTGCGGCAAATGTAATCCCCAGGGCTGAAGACCTGAGGACGGAGCTTCAATACCAGCTCCACCAGCAGGCCAGCCTCACAGTCCTGGAAGATGCGCACCTTCTTGAGTGTGGACAGATGGACATTGATGGCTATCTCAGCCCTCAGCTTGGCTGGCAGGTTCTTGAGAACTTCCCGCTCATCCACAGTCTTCTTATTGGTCCACAGGTAGTCAAACCACTTAATGACTTTAGCTTCCATCTCCTTGCTGACCTTGCGGAACTGCATGTAATGTTTGACAGCATCAATCTTGGCCTGGAACTCAGCCCGGGTGGCATTCATGTTGGAGATCATGGAGCCCACATTTCCCACGATGGTAGCAAAGATGAGGACACCAATAAGGAAGTCAAAGATGACAAATAGATACTCCTCATCCTTTACAGGGGGTGGTGTTTCCCCAATGGTGGTGAGGGTCAGTGTGGACCAATATAGGCAATAGATATATTCCCTAGCCAGGTAGCCATACTCAGGGTCAGTGATGTTGGGGTAAACCCAAGTATCAACCCCAAAGCCAATGGATTTGGAGATGGCGTAGTAAATGCAGGCATTCCAGTGGATGATGATCAAGATGTAGAGAACCAGGTTGCTGATGCGGAAGATGTTGGGATAACTAGTGCGTGTCTCAGTGCGGTCAAAAAATTCAAACATGCGAGCAAAGTGTAGCAGGCGATTGAAGCGCAGCTCAGGGTTGTGAATGCCTACAGCAAAATAGACCAGGTCTGTGGGGATGATAGAAGCCATATCCAGCTTGAACTGCAAGGTATGGATGTAGTTGTCTCGCAACTTCTTGGTATCTTTGACCAGCAGCCCTTGCTCTAGGAAACCTAGTAGAGATGCAAGCCAACATATCACTTCAGCCCTCAGGCCTGTCCCTCCCAATAAGCTCATGCATACACTGTTCACTTAACCCTCCTTCCCAAGGAGGGGTATAAGAAATTCATGTAACAGGGCTGGCCAGAGGTACCTAAGAGATCACCCCCTGGACTGAATCTCACTAAGCATGTGTGGACCATGAGGTTCAAAGAAGAGCAGGCACCAACCCGAGTCCCAGCCAGGCAGCTGAGTTTAACACTGGGTTGAGAGGGCTTCCTGAAAATTTTGACTCAGGCCTTCAGACATATGGGTCTTGCTCCTTCCTGTGCATCTCAGTTGCTCACTTACCTGTGCGCAATCGGATTAAGAGATCCACGATGTAGACTGCATCTGAGAAGTAGTCCAACACCAGCCACACTAGGTAGTAGCCTTTCTGTAGGTCACTGAAGCAGGCTCTACAGGAAAACATGGCTGAGTTTTACCCACAAAGGCAGCCAAGGCCCCCTAGAGGCCCCAAACTGAGTGCCTACTATGTGCAGGGATTGGGATGGCTACCAGGGGAACTGATGAGTCACAGGCATTCTGGTACCATGGACACACTTACAAGCAACTTCTACTGCAACCCTTATAATTACATAAACATCATTACATAAGCGTGACCACTGACCATTACTTGTCTGTCTCATCCACTGGACTGTGAGCTCCAAGGAGACATAGACCACCTCTCAGTCATTACTGCATGCCACACACCCTAGCCCAGAGCACCAGGATTCACATACTTAACGGGTGTGAGTTGAATGAAAAATAAGTCATTGGAAGGATGAGCTATAACACACAGCTGAACACCCTCCATGCTCCTCTATTCAACAGACACTTATTGAGAACTCAACATGGAGCACTGGCCAATCCAGGTGAGAGAGAGGTAAGTAGCTGGGATTAGACTAGAGGTAAGTAGCTGGAGAGAGATTGGAGGCTGCAGGAGAGTTTTAGGAGGAATTGATAAGATTTGGTGACTGAATGGTATAGGCCTAGGCAGAGGGCAGAGTAAAGGATAGAACTCAGGATTATGACCCAGTGAGTGCAGTAGTCAAAGGGAGGAGCAATTAATTCTAACCGCTTGGTCACATTTAGAATAAAACCCTAGCTCCCTCCCCCGGAATGCAGAGCCTGCGGAACTGGTCTGTACCTTCTTCTCTGACTCCGTCACGTGTCAGCTAACATATCACCTCTTCAGAGGGATCTACCCTGACCATCCTTTCTCAAGTAGCTACTGCCCCCACTCCCTGGACTCATCTTGGGCATTTGTTTTGTTCATGTTTATTCTCAGCATCCCCCACCAGCCCGAGAGTTCCAAGAAAACAGAGACCATGTGTGTCTCATTCAGCACATTAACCCCAGCACTGAGCCCAGGTGCTCAGTCACATCCTGGCTGAATGAATGAAGGGCGGGAAATGCTGTCAGGGAAAGCTTGTGCAGAGAGTAGTTTTGGAATTAAGACTGTAAGAAAAATCTTCATAGGTTGAAAATGGAGAGAAAAATGTTCTATTGAGGGAACACTATGTTATGATCCAAAGTAGTGAGTGCTGGGACTAAAATGTGTTCAGAAAGTGGAACTAGAGGAATGAGCAGGTCCAGAGGGCCTTGAAGGCCATGTTGAGGTCTTGAACTTCATCCTGTGGGCAATAGGGGTCACTGAAGAGTTTGTGAGGAGGGAGTGACATAATCAGATTCCAGTTTCTACTAACCACACTAGTTACAAGTGTGGAGGATGCATTGGAGGGGGCAAGAAATGTCTATAAAGAATGGGTGCAAGGCTGTCGTATTTGTCCCAGGGAAAGA